CGTTTCTTCAAGGGCCTACCATTGGCGCCCACCTGTACAGGCTCGTCCTTGCCGCAAGTTGGATCGAGACATTTAACGTTGTCAACGTCTCCCTCCGTTATGCAGCTCTTGAAAAATTCCTGCAAGCATGCGATGCAGAAGACGTGCCCACATGACACCAGGCGGTGGCATTGTATCCCCTTTTTAGGTTCCAGACAAATTCCACAGTCAAAGGTTCCTTTCTCAAAGAGTTCACGCTTTGTCTTGAGGTCGAAATCCAGCATCGCCACCTTCAAATCGCTAGACAATTGAACATCGGTCTCGCCCGCAAGACCAAAAGCTCGTTCCCCCTCTTGTTGGACATGGTCTATGTAGGCATAAACAACCTGGTCATTTCCCAGCTCTTCCCATAGTCTATGACAATCATCTCTGAGCCGCTTTAGGGCGGGTCGGGGCAGCCACTGGGGGGTAACGGACACCGAGACAACTGGAGGCTTTGTGGCTGGATAGCCCTCGGGCAGCGAGATTCGGAGTGATAGTGGAGGCAGATGAGACAGTTCATGGGCGTCAAGAGGGAGGACAGGGTATTGCAACTCAGGTTTCGCATCGCCCTCATTCTGACTTTGTTCTGGGGAGGTGGGTGGTGTGGGTAGTAAAGGTGGCGCACTGTCTGCAGCGGGTTTGAAGAGAATGCGCAGGGGTTGAATCGGTGTTACGGCGAGATCGAGCGTAGCAGTATATGGATCTTGATCATCGACCACGAGTTCAGGGTAGATGGCGGCGATGGTCGAGAGTTCACCAGCTCTTTCATCTTCGGTAGCATATGAGTCATCATCCATCTTTTACATGTAGAGATCGATTAATGTGAGAATATGGGGAAACGGAAGGATTGCGAGGGTCGACGGTCGAGTTATTAAGACGACATGAGAGATACCGCCACAAGTCAGTAGAATCAGTAAAGACACAATAGACACAATGGATCCTTTGTTCGAGGGGTCTTTGCAGAAAAAAGACAAAGCAAGTCACAACGGACGCATTATGGATCTCTGGTCCTCGGCAGAAGGTCTCGACTCATTCATGCATATATACAAACAAACCAAACAATAACGCACCAGGCGCAGAAAGGGAAAAAAAGAGAAGGCCTCGAACCTGATTGATGGAGAAGTTATCGATGAGGCACCCAGACGAGTCGACACTAGAGAACAACTTGGAGGGGCTTGAGGGGCCAGCTTACTTGGGTTGGTGGCACAGTTGGTGGCTTGTGCCTCGCCACACTGCGTTCAGCCTCGCATCTCATTACTCACGTCTCCTTTTCACATCCTTGATATCTCTTTCATTCTTCTCACCGGTTGAGTCATTGTGTCATCTGTTCTCCACCTGTGGTAAATACCAACTTTGTGTCAGGGATGGACGATCCGCCTCTCGCCTCGTTGTCACTCACCCACGTTCGCTATGTAAGTCCCTACCTCGTCCATCATGGAAAATCGTCTATTATTGTGGCACAACTAACAGCACCAGACTCCCGGTGACCCCATATCCTACGCATCAGCATGGCTGGCTCTGGTGCCACAGGGTCTCTGTGTGGTCTATGTCACTCTGATATGGGCATCGCGGGAGGCAGAGATATTTCTCATGTTCGCCGGCCAAATGGCGTGTGAAGTGGTGAATTTCGGTCTGAAACGGCTGATACGGGAGGAACGTCCCAAACGTACGTTGTGCCTTTTCCTCAGCTATGAACCCATCAACCCATCATTGTCTAAGCTCTAAGAGTCGTGTTTGATTGATCTGTGTGGCTGTACAGAAATGACAGGCAAGGGCTACGGCATGCCCTCTTCACATTCTCAATTCGTGGCCTTTTTTGCCATCTCATTTAGTCTCTTCTTAATCTTCCGTCACGTCCCTGATCCTTCAGCAAGTTATTCGCCTACCAGCTTGACCCAGCGGGTCATTCTGTCTATGCTCGCCTGCATAGGCGCCGGCGCTGTTGCTGCCAGCCGTGTCTACCTGAACTACCACACACCAAAGCAAGTTTGGGTCGGGGTTGCTGCGGGAGCAGTTTTTGCCGTCATCTGGTTTCTATTCACCTCCTGTTTACGGCATTACGGGTGGCTGGACTGGGCGTTGGAGAGTTGGACATGTAGGAGACTGAGAGTGAGAGACTTGATTGTCACAGAAGACATCCAGGACGCTGGTTGGGGAAGATGGGAGGAAAGGAGGAAAGAGAGAAAACATAGAAAAGCGACGGCCTCCCGTCTGAAGAGGCAATAGCGGTTCTCCACCAAAATTGATTCCTTTACCCTGTTGATTTGAGGAGCCCAATTCCATCAGTATATAGAGACCGCTCCTGTGATCCCAGCTCAGGAATTCTATGCAGCGACCCACATAGACAAAGGTGGAACTTTGCCTATCTGTGTTTGTTGTGCGCAAATTCGGCCAGAGCCGCCTCTGATAAAGTCAATGGCCACAGCCCACGCGAAAAAGCATATGCACCCGCAACCAGAAGCAGGTAATACGCCACCGTCCACCGCAACCCCAGCTTTTGACCTTGTGTCGCAGCCTGAACGAGGTCCGTATCGTCTTTGCCACGGATGACAACAGGGTGGATCGAGTAGTCATCGGGTCTCCTCACGCGGCCCCAGAAACGAGGAAGACCAACACAGTTGCAGAATGAATGAATGATGATGCAGGCGTAGACCGAGCCCGTACGCATGTAAACAAAGGCGGCAAACCAGCCAAAAAGGGTGGTATAGGTGAACTGGAGTACGGACCTCAACATGACCGGCAAAAGTGGGATGTGAGGATGGGTCAAATGAAACTCGTAAAAGTGGTGGACATGGGCGATGCCGAAGTAGAGTGGTGTCAGGAAAACGATCCTGCTCGGGGAGATTTTGGCGAGTAGGTGGATTGGGATGAGAACGGATCGAAAGACAACTTCCTCAGTGATAGGCCCAGCGACGTAGTTTCTGTAGCCTTGCCAGCTGCTAAGAGTTTCGCTAATCGCAGCAACACCACGCTGGCGCAGGTTATCGAACTCTCCCTCCACGAAAACCTTCTCAAAGAGCGGCCCGACATACAACAACAATGTCAGAGCGAAGGATCTAAGCAGGTCCCATGGTCGAACCGGCCAACAGCCCAGCATATGCAGAGCATCGGTTACCGAGAGCTTCGCTGTTCCGACGAGCAGATAGAGAGTGCCAGTGGTACCAATGATACAAGCCAATGTGACGGTCCGGATACGCGCGCGAATAACGCTGGGAGCGTCGCGGTTTAGCGTTGGCGATGGCCTGGTGGAGGAGAAAAGGTAGAAAGGAACCACGTAGATCAGCGTGCAAAGAACCTGGTGGAGGAATGATCAGCAATCCGCGCGTGGTCAGTGTGTACACACCACCATTGGGCCTACCGATAGTATGGCTGCTGTGGTAGGCGAGATGATGGGCTTGTCCTTGTCTGTTTCGTCATTCGGGTCAGCAACAAGCATCAACGATCGGGGCCAGTCACGACATTATCGATATGTAACCGCATCAGTCGGGGTCAGGACAATAGATCCGTAAACAACGCGACGATTGGGAGTGTGTGTTGATTAATGGGTGGATTCGGGAGCATTGTTTAGATTGACAGCCCATTCATACAGAGACAACGAAGGTCTGTGAGATAACTAGTTTCAGGGGAGCCGACATGTCGACAACTGCGAACCAATGAAGAGCCAACGTACCTGCATGGCCAAAATAAGTGTTTTTCAGCTGGAGGAAGAAGTTGACGGGAGCCATGGCGAGGCCAGGCGCAGGCTGCCAGCTGGCAAGTGGTTTAAACTCCAATAATGAGCACAGAGGATGTTGGGCCAGAGGGCCAGACTGTGGTGAGGTTGAAGTGGACTCTGGATAAAGGGGGCTTTGACGAATTCCCTAATCGATATGGTGGCGTCTTGGAGGGGGCGACGATGAGATCAGACACCCAACAGTCGGTGAAGGCAGCAATAATAGTCGATGCCACTGTGGCTGTCACCGACTCACCGCCAGCAATCTTTTCTCCGCTATCCAGAATCAAATCATTCTCTGGGGATTGAGCGGCGACGCTATTGACTTCAAGTCCCCAGAATTCGGACCCGGAAAATTGGAATTACTCCGTCTGTGTTGTTGCAGGCTGCGCCACTAACGCTTCTTCCGCCCCCCTGTATGCAGCCAGATTGTCGCGTTAATTTCGTGACACACCGTGATCCAATCGGGGATTTTCGATACTTCCAGTGTGCCACGCGATCAAGATGGAGAAAAGCGTGAGACGCGACCTGCCAACCAACACCCGAGACCCTCCTTGACACAAAAGCAATCGACAAGATGAGTCCTTTGAGCGTGGTCCTTGCGCAATAATACTCCGGATTGGCACCAAAAGGCCTGGGAGCCACTCCAATTTTACATGGGTTCAGCCTCCAAAAGAGAAGGAGAACAGGGATCACAAAGTCGCTTCGTCCCCTGATCGCGAATAGTCGAGAGGCGGGTAGCCAGAGGTCCGTCCAGGTTCAGGTGGTGGTCGACGGTTGTCCAAAACCAACCTGCGACTCTTCAACTACTTCGTCGAATCCAGAGACCACACAACATCCTACATTCTTTTCCTATGTACATACACAAGCGGCTTTTGCACATACCAAACGAGGTCTCAGACATCAGCCGCTCAATCGTACTCCGCCACTCCTGCAGCTGATTATATCTCAATTTAACTCGCCCTGAAGCATGCATATGCAGCTCCGCTCGATCGTCACCCTAACCTGAGCTACAAGTACTTTGAGTGCAAAATATCTCCGAAAATACTCAGTACTGTTAGTCCACTGGCATGAGACTTCAATAATACACAATCCCGCACATTGAGCGCGCGCGCCCACTTGTCGTTCTCTTCGACTTCGCACATCTCACCTTCAGTCGTTCTTTACCCTTCCTACTATCCTGACCGAGCACATCCTTGGAGCCTACGATCGAACTCGCGAGTCACCGAATGCGTCGCCGGCTGCTTGTTGCGACGATGAGATAATTATGTCCTCGTCCCCTTCGTCGGTGAAGCTCATATCGCCGAAGCGGACTGCTCCCAAACGGACACCTCTACAAGAAAGAACATCTTCGGAGACAAATGAGCTCTCAGCTCGTCTAGGTCCAGAGTCAAGATCAGACCAAGGGACTTCGGACATATACAAAAGCACTCCGTTCCCTACGAAACCCGCTCACGTTCTCCTACCCAGTACCATCCGCAGGAAGAAGAGCTTTGGGCCAAGCCAACTCGCCGACACTTCTGGGTTTCTGCATGAGAGTCCATCGGTTAGAAGCAGCGATGCTTCCTGGAGTTCACAAGGAGGAGGTGGCGGCGGTGGAGGAGGATCAAAGCCTACTGTTAGGCTGAAGCGATCGGTCAAAGCGTTGAGAGACCTGTATGAATCTCAAGCCGAAGAAGCGTCCCGTCCATCCACGGCAACGTCACCGGCCCTTCGCCCAAGCACAGGCAGTTCGTTTCGATTGAGAAGTCTCAGCTCGAGTGAAAGTCTATCGGGCGCGTACGCTTGGGAGTCACTGCAAAAGATTGCGGCCGATGATTTGGCGCTGCTACCCTCGTTACCACCTGGGCCTCTTACCCTCAAAAGGATTTCGTCTCGCTCCTCTTTCACGTCGATCCCAGAGAGGGCTGCTGCCACTTCGACTCCAAACTACAAAGTGCACGCAGTAACGTCAAGTCCAAGACTGCCATCGTTCAGAGACCTGAGAGGTCCTTTGCTTGAAGCGTTCGAAGAGGTATCAAGTGCGGAATCTGAGAACGAAGTCTCTTCGAGTCCCAACGTTATTCGGCTCGCACACACGTCCAGCCCCAAGCAATTCCAAAATATCGCTCCATCGTCCAGTCCAAACGTGGTTCGTCTTGCGAAATCCTCCAGTACGGATCAGTTCCAGAGCAGCGATCAGTCCTCCAGTCCCAATATTGTGCGTCTCGCGCACACATCCAGTACGGAGCAATTTCCAAGCACCGACCAGTCGTCAAGTCCAAATGTTATAAAACTAGGCCCGTCATCCCCGACGGCGGCTCGTCCTGACTTGTCCAACTCTTCTCCACTTTCGAGATCGTCGTCGAGCTCATCGAAGAAAAGGAAGAGGTCCGAGTCCGAGGGAGGGACGTCTTTCGCCGAACGAGGTGGAGCAACGATTTCACTGGCATCGAGTCCCCCAGTTCGCCGTTACATTCCATCGTCTGCTGCAGGAAGCGCGAGCTCTCCTGTTGACCCCGGTATTCCGTCTTCCGCGCCGCAAAGCGTCAAACAAATCAGCGAACCGGTTGATGAATCTAGTCCAGTGGACCGACTTTTGGAGAGAGATGATGGGACTTCCGATAGCATTTCTGTCGGCGACACTCACGCTAGTCTCCAAGCCGCTCTAAGCTCAAGTCCACCGCGTATTCAATACCCCATTGTTCGAGCTCCTGCTGTAAGCCAACATGCTGGCCTTGCAGTCCCCAAACGTACTTCGAGGTCCATGTCCACCCAAGGATCCTTGCCGAAATTCTCATCACGGTTATCAGCGGTCCCCTCTGAGGGCTCGTGGGTTCGAACCAGACCAACCAGTGAAGCATCTTCAGTCCCCGATGATCTCGACCAATATCTGTTGTCTGAAGACCTGGCCCCAGCATCCACCTACATCATCAATGAAGGGGCAAACCTGACACAAATCCGACTCGTTCAAGAAGCGGAAACACCGGACGAGCCACAGTGCGACTCTGAATGGGAAACAGAATACAGTCACCAAGATTTGGATGCGCACCAAAACGAGGCGACGGACGAAGTCTCAGCTTTACCTTGGACAGAGTATCCGTATAGATCACCACCCCTTCGATCAAGCCGGAGCATCGGCTACATGTACTCTTCAAATAACTCTTCACAGCAGTCAATTGCGCGACTTAATTCCATGAAATCATTTACGAAGTCACGACCAAACAGATCCCTTTCCAATTCCCTCCGCCCAGGTTCTTCTAGCAGCATTACGAGCGTCATCCCTGTTCCAACATGGGCCCGAAGGTATTACTCGGGGTTTTACAGGGATTCATTTCAGTACCTTTATTCTAGCGGTTCATATATGAATTTGAGGGAGAGAGCGGCAGCCCAAGCACCAATTCCAGTACATTTAGAACCACCTTCGCGGCCCCAGACGTCCAAGTCAGCCGTCAGCACTGGCGTTCGCAATATCCATCAGGGAATGACGGATGGCGTTGGAGGCCCTTTCCGCCCGAGGAAACGACCAAAGGTCGAAGCCCGGAAATCACATCTTCTACCGGGTGTTGGACCGTTGGTCTCCAACCCAGTGCGCCCTCTACCAACTGCCGCCCCGGCCTTGCCCGGCCGACGACAATCTTATCCACAAACACAATCTAATCCAAATCTTCACACTCGCTCAGTCTCCTTGCCGTTAAGCCCTGCCGACCCTCGGGCCCATTGGGCTGGGGTAGTCGAGATCCATGAACACCCATACGAAGACGGACGAGGCTCCCGCTACATGATCCACCATCACAGCTACACGTATAGTATCTCCGCCTCCCAGGTTGACTCCCAAAATGACCAGTCCGTGATACACCACCATCAGGTCAACCCAGGTGGCAACATATTCCGTCGGTCCTGGCATCGTTGGTCCTCTTCTCCGCATCTCCACCACGATGCCCGTCTAGGCACGGGTTCATCGGTGTCGCGTGGCTTTGGATTTCCATTCAACGCGAAGTCCCGCTGGATGACTGGTCTTCCTGATCTCGTCTCGGGCGGAGAGCGTCAGTCGCCGCTGCACATTGATCTTCGCTCCATCCAGGTGATATGTTTCACCGCCGGTTTCCTCGTGCCTGCGGTTTGGTTCATGGGTGCCCTTCTACCTCTTCCCGCGAGACCCGCCAGCTTTGGGGACATTGAGAAGCAAGTGGTGCAGGAGCAACGTCAGAGACAACGTCAGTCATATCCACTTCAACAATCGCAGCGGTATTCTGTATCCCAACAGTTCAATTCAGATTATTCCCTAGACGAACGAGAGAGGGAAACGATGGATATCTTGGCCAGACTCCGCTTTGAACGGCACGCCGCTGGCGTGGCAGAGCTCAAATTCCAGAATGCTCGATGGTGGCGGAATTTGAACCGATGGATGAGCGCCGTCGGTGTCATTGTCTTCGTCCTGGTGATAGTGTTAGCAGTCTTGGGAACAGAACACAAATGGGGCGAGACATAGCCGGGGGCTAGCAATGTGCGTCTTGATCCAAACAGACCTTACAACATTTACCGAATCGAGAGTGGCACCAACAGGCACCATCTCAGGGAATAAAGGGCACCAGAGGATGTGGCTGAAGGCGAAATCTTTTTGATGATCTCGACCTAGACATACATATCTATCTATTTCACTCCACATATCTACTACTACCACACACATATTTCTTCTCATATACTCACACACCGAGCGAACTATCAGCGTTCCGAGCACCCTCGACGGGAGAGATTTCTTACAATCAATCAATCAATCAATCAATCAAATATTATTATTTATCCATCTATTCTACTGTACCTGTCTCCCAACGCTTTTCCTCCTGTACGTACTTGTATTTTTTTTTTCCATTCCTGTGCACCATGTGTCCGTGTCCATCACCGCTCTCTAAAATATACCGAGGGTAACTTCATGCGTGGATTTGTGGATTTGTGGACATGTAGATGGCCATGCGTTTGACATTACTAAATACTCTGGCAGGTAATATGTACTACGTACGACGTGTGATAGATGTGTGATGGATATGTGAAGCTCTAGTACCCACGGTACCTGTAGTGCATATATAGTAGGTATTCTACCAAGGATCAAGTAGATGTCTCGGGTTGGTTGGGGTGTACCACGTATATATACCGTACTTATTGTACCTATACCTATACCTATACCCATACCTATATCTGGGTTTGTACCAGGACTTGCAAGTACATAACTTCCAAGTTACAGCACACTGTCGTGGGAGAGAGAGATGGAGATATACCGAGTAGAGATAATAGAAAGATCACTGTGTTCCCCAGACGAAACGGACGCGGTAAGAATCCACCAGTCAATTCAGTCAGCCTCACTCCTGACGCGAGGAGATGCATACCGAGCACGAACAGAGAAAAGTATCTATCTGCTCTTTCGGCTACCGGTCTCTCCTTTTATTCATTGAGAATCACGTATGAAGTGAAGATCACGGCATTTCGGGCAAGCAAAAGCCACAAACACTACGCAGTACCGAGTAGTTGACTTTCTTTCCATTCTACTTGTACCGTGTACAGGACGAATAGGGATCCATCCATTTCCGACCATGTCTTCTCGCAACACACCATCTTCTTTTCCATAAGTCGTTCATACTTAGTCTGGTGTGGGTGTCCTCGATTTTTGAATTCCAGTGTTCTTCTCTTCCCCACAACCTTCTCTGGCTTTCTCGCTCGGTTTCCCCCAATCGGCATGGCAAAGCAGTCATGAAGTCTTGGGTCAGGCTCGCTTTTTGGGACCTTTCCAGCCATTCACCAGGCATTGAGGCCGTCATAGAGTGGTGCGAGGCATCTTGGTCCCTGGCTCATGTCCACACGCGTGGCTCCAACGAGAGAGTCCTCTTGGGTGGTACAACTTCCATCCGCGCAGCAGATGTAGAATATACATGGATTTCACCTCAGAGATCACCCTTTTCTATCCCATACCCCTCTGAACGCCTGGTTGTGTTCTCGAATACATAGCCACTCGATCCGCTGGGTCGGAGACGGGCAGAAAAAGAGCACGTTTCGACCCAGAGCGCATCAAAGGCTCCCTGAATTCTCATCTCACAAGGCCTCTAAACAGGCAACTTGAAGCTCTTTCCTTTGAGGACCCTGGATTCGCACATATGTCAGTTGCAACTCCCAAAAAAACAATCTGCGCCAACCTCCATTTCCAAGCTGGTCTGCGCGAGGAATATCAAGAACTCACTTGGTATAGTAAACCCAGAAAAAGTCGGAATACAGGATAGTCTGGATCACACCGGCGACCACAGCAATCGGATCGAAATGCCCCTCTGCAAACCACCGATAGATCCAGTTCGGAATGTACAGAGCACGGTATATCCCCAGCGCAAACAGATAGTGTGTGGTAATTGTCTCGGCCTCGCCCGTCCTTTGAAGCATGAACAGCTGGGGCAGGATAGCGACGCTTTCGAGCCAGATAGAGAATGCCCACAGGACTTCGGGGATGGTGTAGCGGTAGGGGAACAGCAAAGCGAGAACGGCCGAGCCTCCGGTGAGGTACGAGACGCGGAACGTGTCCAGATTCGGATCGTGGGTCGGTTTGTAGTCGTTTAACATTACGTAGAGGGTATAGAGGGAGGACGAGAGGAAGATTAGCTTGAAGATGGTGTTCCATGCACTGTCGGTGAAAGTCCAAAAGAGGTCTGCGCAAAGCATTGACCATGTTAGAGAAGAGTGTTTCGCGGCGCTGAACCTTCTGAGGGCAGAACGAACCAAGATACCTCGTCACGTAGACGAGAAAATATAACGCTTGAGTTTTGAACGAGATTCCTGAACACGACTATTTCCACATCGCACAGATAGATGGTCAGCGATCAATGGTCCTGCTTTCTCTTCGCCGATGTCGTGTCGTTGCGCAAGGGAAGTTTCTTCGACATACGTTCGAGACCTTCATCTTGTGAAGGAGGATGAAGATTGAGACCAGATGCGACAGGTCCGCTGCGCGACAAAGAGTTGAAATTAGCATGCTGGCGACTCTCTATATGGGGAGGTCCGTGTCCGCATACCGAGTAGCCTGAAAAGATTCATGGTGGGCGACACTCAACAGGAGGTGAAGCAGCTGGGCACAGCGCAAACGGGAGTGACGAAATGTCGACGACGAGACCAAGTATCAAGCTCGTAGATTGAATTGGAGGGTGTTATTTGTTGTCCGAAAAGCGCAGGTAAGCGGCAAGAGATCTTGAGGGCAACAATTCAATTAGAAGAATGGAAAGCGGTCGAAAGGGTTCGAGACCGGACTTCAAGACACGGAATGTAAATTGGTAAAGGAGGGACAAAATGGCGCAGTTCGGGGATGTAAGATGGTTGAAGATGCGCAGAGAATCGTTAACATGCCAGGCTGTTCAAGATTCTTTTTGGGCCAAAAAGAGACCGACGAACGCGCATGTTCATACGCAGGCTATGATTGGCGGAGCGGGCGGATGAAAGGCTCCAGAATCCTCCCGTCAAGCTTCGTTAGGCTCAGTAGCAGCCGTCAGCGCCGGAAACCCTGCAAGAAACTCACCTAAGGGCGCCAATAGACAGCCCCTATTCCTGCCACTCTGGGTACCTCTATGCCTAGAATCCCCACCCAAAGGGGGGGAAATCTGGGCCTGTGGCGCCCCCCCCCTGAGATGCCTAAGCCCTATGAGTTGCTCAGTGAGGTGCACCTCATACGCAACTGGGAAACTCGTAAGTCGTAGGTTGCAAATAATAACAACGGAGCTACGAGTAATCTGGTTTAGCCATAGTGATCAACCAATGTACCCATAGCATCTACATATGTATGAGTATATAAAGACTGAGCCCTGTGTAGGTACGAGGTACATATGGGGAACTCGTCTGCCACCAAAAACACCCCCTGACAACCCCAACTCCTAATTCCAAGTATCGACATGTCGGAACGTCTTCAAGACCTTGACTCGTCTAGGTCTCTGACTCCCTTGATCGCGTTCCGCAAACCTTCTTCTAGGACGAGAAGACAGTCCATCTTCGTCCCTATCCCTCTCCACCAGCTCGTCCCGCTCCAAGTCAAAACAGATCTCCCTCTCTTCCCTGCCACCAGTGCCGTTCTTGCACACAGGATAAAGCTCTCTTGTGAACATGTCGCAATAAACCCCCTCGGAGAGACTCACGAAATGCGGACCCTTGGCGGATACGCTCTGGCACATTTGTACCGCGCTAGAGAGGTTCAGGCTGCTTTTGACAAGCGCTGAGTCGAAGTCGAGGTTTGGGGTGATGCTGTCGTCGCGAGAGACTCTGGGCGCAATCAGCTGCCGTCGTGAAAGAGGACTTGAAGATTGATCTTCCCGAAACATTATAAAAGGGCCCCGACACAAGTCCTCTACCGAAGTAATGTTGTAAAAATCCAGGTCCTTCTCATCAGTCTGCAGGTTGAAGCTAATGCCGGGCAGTCGAATACCGTTTGACCCCCGGTGATCGATCCAAACACAGGACGCAGCTTTCCCCTGGGCGTTAGGGAGGACCGTCAACGCAGACTCATAGTGATCCGCGCCACAGATCCTCCCCAAGTTGCCCGTCATGGTGATTTCGGAGCCGTCAGGAGCCGTCACGCGCACGCCGGCCATGCAGAGGGGCATTTCCCCGGCATTGGTGATGTATATCCAGTCCGGCACCATGGTGCCAGGAACGGTGACGGCGAGTTCTTCCTCTTCACCAAACACATCCAAACCACCACCGCCTTCGCCGACATTATTGCTGCTGTATATCATGACTCCGGGGACTTCGTCGTGGTCATAGTCTCCCTGGTTCGGTCGACCCCACCCCTTCATACCGTTTATCACTGCGACGGTGGTCCCTAACAGATCCCTTTTCCTCATGGGCAACATATTATCTCCACCATGTTCCCAATAGTTGCAAGCCGGTTTATCAAAAAAGTCCTTGTTCATGGGCGTCCCGCAAGGGTCGCTGTCGCACTTGCGGAAGATGCCGCATGCCATCCCGACCGAAAACGAGCCCGTGAGGCCCAACACGCTGGCCGTGGTGGCAGCATGATACCAGTGCCCCTTCGCCCAGGCCACCGCCCGGATCCACGAATAGGCGTTGCCCATGACTTGTGAGGGCAGGAGAGGGGACGGACTCCGATAGATGTCGTGTACTCGCTCGGGCTAGATAGTCTGATGAAACCCTTCGGTTAGATGACGGAGACGGGAGACGAATGAATATAGAAATACCTCAAAAAGGTAGGTCACAGAGCAAGTATCCTGGAGCCCAAAAGTAGAGATCCATAGCTGTGTTCTATACATATAGCATTTCTCAGGCACGAGGAGAACATGAGGACGAGGACCTGTCAGGGGAATAAACTTTGCATGGCGAGGCTGAACACACAAATAAATTTGTTTCCGTCAAGTGAATGGCTTGTCCAGATGCTTGTCTAGACGGTTGCCCCATTACTGCAGCTGTAAGCTTGAGCTTATTCTTGGTGTGTCACTTGGAACTTAGATGAGAATGTAGTGTAACCGCGCGCAAATATCTGGGAGACTGGCTGGTGAGGGTACGGGTCCGGATCTGGACGTTTATGAGCTTTACCACAAAGGCCATTTAGCGCGTTCAGCATGTGCTCATTTGGGGAAACTTCATTCATTCATGGTGGTAGAGAATCGGACCTTGCCTTGAGGCACAATGACCTGTGATATATGTAGTCCATGGGCATCTTGATCAACACAGCCTCGACCCAGTCAAGCACACAGGATTGAACAACTGGCGAGTATTGTAGTCCCTTTCTTTTGTCTTTGCAAGTCCTTCCACATCCCCCTTCTGCATCTGTCTGTCCCCCAAGCACCCAATCCGGACTCCACACACCAGTGATGAAGAAAAGGGGCAAAGTAATGTCAGCCCGAAACATGTCAGCACCTGGTGTGCCTTTGGACATAGATTATCCCGTCGTTCTGTAACACTTGGAGTGCTGCTTCATTCATCGTTATATAAATCGCAATGCTTTTTTGTAACCGTCATTCCTGCGCCAAAATTCCACATAGAAGTGACGAAAGGGTAGATAAACCAGCAAGGTTGCGCCAACCGGGCCTAAGAAAATGGGATGTCTTCAACTCTGTGGCAGCGAAAGGTGGTCCAGCTCCCCCGTAGTGCCTGAGAGAGGCAAGTCCGTGAGAGAGTCCGTGTCGTCGTATCATAAAGCGAAGCTAACGCCGTGTGTTCCGTACCGTTTCCTGCTCATCGTGAGTCGCACATGGAGTGATGCTGGCTCATCAGTCATAACATTAGTGCACATCGTGGCCGAGCAGTCAAATATAATGTTCGACCTTGATTCCATACGCTGGTTCTGTTGGTACATTGCCATGCACATTTTGGGGCAGTGAAGATGAATTATATGCTGGTGAATGTCCTGTGGCATTTCCAAAGTTATTGACAGATGGAAAGTTCAAACCCGGTGGTGTTGCATTGGTACAATTCATGGACATGGCGGGTCCGGTGTGGTAGTGGTCGCGGTGACTGAGAGGGTCATGCTTCAGTCCAGCAGAGACATGGCTGACCTCTGAATGAGACTGCAACGGTGTCATCCACCGGTTCTGCTGTTGAAAAGCCGAGCTCGTTTTGAATCCCGCTGTCTGCAAAGGCAAGCATGTATTTACAGCTGCCTGCCTGATTACCGTAGAGCCCTTCCTTGATCCGGCCACAGATAATGCCTCTGGCGAGTGAGCTTCTGCATTCGTTTCGGGGCTTTTCACTGAATCTGGAGGCGAGTTACGACTGGCCCCTCGTCTGACCTGGCAAGTGGGACACAGTTTGACAAATCTTGAAATGAGCTCTTTGGGTACCCTAGCATGCATGATTAGTCTCTCGAACCATAAAGAATGCTTGCAAGTCGAACCATGAGTACACCTTTCTGACCTGCGCAGATGTTTTGTCTCGTCCGCCGTGTTGACACTGTTTGTGTGCCTTGGTCAGGATCTTAAACAACTTCTCCCGCACTGCCACTGGTTTCCCTTCATGGCAAATCTTCCTTAAATGCTAGACCATGTCAGCCATTGACGCTGGAAAATGCGCCCTATCTCACCTCTGGGATTTTGCTGTCGTTAGGTTGCAGTGTAAACATCTTCTTGACCCAAAACCTAAGCGGCGGTCAGTCTATAACACTTGAAGACACAGCTGTCCTCTTTGAGTAGAATCGGACTGACCTGAATTGCGCCGACTCTATGGCCGTTGTCTTCTTGTCAATGAGTACATGCTTGATGTTGGCAGCTCGCCGCGCATGAATGAGAGCTTTGTCCTGTTTCTTGGGAGAGAGGTCTTGGACGTAACTACAAATAGTGAATTAGCAATGCTCAAAAAAAGAGGCGGGCACTTTCTGTACCGTTTCATCAGCTCATCGAATTCATGTACATCCGGATAGCCCTCAAGTGGGGGTAGAACAGGTTCTGACAGCATTGTGTCCTCGTTTGGAGAGTCTTGACACTCTGTGCCATCCATTGAAGTGTATTCTCGTGGAGGAGCGAGTCGTTGATGGTGTGAAGTCGTCCGATTCCCCGAGGACGTGCTGTAGTAAGAGCTCTGTGGGAAAGCACGAGACTGGGAAGGAAGCGTAGGAACTCGTGGGCCTACAAATGAATAATTGAGTTGTGAACCGGATGTTGGAGGCAAATAGAGAGGAGGAGCCGACGTTCCTGGACTCGGTGCGTAGTTTGCTGAGTACGTCGAACACGGGGTGTGTACAGTCTGATACTGAACTTGACCATCACTGTAGAGGTAGCTGAGACCGGTTCCATTGGAATAATGCGACATGGCGAGGTGCGGACTTTGAAAGAAGGAATTGTAATCCTGACTGCTTCGTGGCGCATAGTCGGTCATTCTTGGAAGTGCAACAAATGATAGAAGGCCAGTCAAACGAGATCGCAGCGGATGAATACAGGCACAGCGTTCACACCACAGAATCTGTCACGGCTGTCAAAAAAGAAGGAATATGACAAGTTCGATGCTCTTGGACTGTGCTGATCGCTTCTCCCGTTGTTGTTAAGTACTTTGAGATACCTCGAGTGACTCGACGGGAGGCAAAAGAGTGAGGAGGAGTGTAGCTAGACGAGCACGAAGGCAGTCAGTCCGCTATAGAGATCGAAGGAGAGAGCGGCGGCAAAGGGTGATTAGAACTTGAAGAGTTTAAGACAAAATGCTTGTTGGGTCTCTCATATGAATTCAAGAATAAAACAAAAGGTGAGGTAAGGTGTCGAAAGGTTAACCACGGCAACACGCGTAGTTGATATTCGAGACAGAAAAGGCCGACTAGAAGAAGTTAGTGGCAAAAGCAATGTGCTGGACACCTACCCGCCTAAATTGGTTAAGAGGCCCATTCTCGTGCTGCTGTGGAGATACGAGGACTGACAAGCAAGGGCAGACAAAGACTGAGGTCTGGCTGGAAATGAGCAGGATCCATGAGCAGGGCGGGGGGGTGGGCATGGCGAAGATAACGAGACCGTGAAGGCAAGGAAAAGGGTCTGAAGTAGGACGCATATGAGAGAGAACGAGGCGCTGCCAGCATCAGAAGTGGCAACGGTTGGTCACTCGCCTGCGGACATGATTGGATTCCGTTGAGTTCCCACCCGCCTTGACCTCCTGCCCTTTCTCGAGGTCGTTCATCTCTCTGTCGTTCTTTCGGATCGTGGGGTGGCCGTTCTCCTCGGTACCCATGCCTAGCTGTATGCACATCATAAGTGCATTTCTATGCTTGACAGATGTTTATTATCGTAGAGAGGCTCAGGGGTGGCAACCACAGAAACATCTTCCATTGAGGTTGATGCAGTCTTAGGAAGAGCCTCCCCGGTACAGAAACAACGCTGGCTGGTGGTGTCTGGACTCTGGGCTCTGAAGATTGCAAGTATGTGGTGACCGGAGTCTCGGGCTCTTCAGCAACACCTACTTCAGGTCGACGAACCAATTTTGAGTATTCTCTTTGAGTGGAGAGCGAGCGTGCAGGTCTGCAAGACTGCAACGGTTTGCTCCCCAAGAGAACCAGGCGCGTGAGAAGGATGCCCCTGTTCAGATCGAGACAACTAGCCATTTTGGGTAGCCCGGTAGAGGTACCTGTAGGTCCAAGGGACGCTCGGACCGACATGTTCGATCCCTGGGTTTCCAGGTTCTCTTTGCGAGACACGTTGATGGCCCGGGGCAGGGGTGTCCACTGGTCTGTGAGACGTTGAAAGAGGCGAAGCCCCCAGCCAACCTGATGAGGGCAACTCGGGCAAGGTGAAGCCACCACGAGTTGAGCACTGACGCTGTTCAGCGGGACCAGCAGAGGCAGCAGTGTCCATGAGCAGATTGGGAGAGATCGCTAGAACGAGATGGTGCGTCGCATGCAGATGAGGGCGCAGAATGTTTGTTTGCTAGTATGCAAGGGTTGAAGATCAGGAGTCGAAATCGCAGGCGGCGATACCAAAGTACGAGTCACGAGGCTCTGACTACCCACACGTGATCACAGTCACGTGTATCCCCTCGGCCTTTGACAGCCTGCGCTCTCTTCTTCCCATTCCTTGTTGCTCTCCCTCACTCAACTTCTCCTGAACACAACGCTCCCTCTGTCAACATCTCATGTCGCGCTGCATTCAGCCGAACTACATTATCTGCTCAGTTCCGTATCAGGGCTGCAGCCGTGCTGAGATATGCTCTACTCATCGCTCCCACACCAACCCCATCTTCTCCTGCAAAAACTCGTAGTGGCTGCAAACCCCCCTCCCACCAAATTCGTGTCTAGACCAAACAAGGCTCACCGCAGTAACAGGATTTCAGACCTGGTCATCTCCAGTGATTGACGCATGTCTTTCGACCTGCGCTCGCATGCATGCCGGCTTTCAGCCCGACTTGTCTGCAAGTCGACCCCCTGTCTTAAGGGCTTGGTCTGGGGCCCCTTCCCAGCCAATGGTCTGGCCAGCTTTGTTTGCTGCTTCAATCCTCCACCACTGGTCGGGTCAAGACACATAAGCTCCACTTCTCTACCCTCAGTACACCTGATGATGTTTTCGGATCTTGGGTCGAAATTTCCTACCGAGATCCATTCCAGCCTAACCGACAACGGGAATGCCCTAACCTGCTCCCTTCCTCGTACGCATACTCATATGAACTGACAAGTTTTGTATTCGGCCCACCAAAGGCGGATAGCAAACAGACAATTTTCTGGGTGGCCAATCAAACCCGGTGGTCTCTGGCTGATCCATAGACTGGTCCGCTATCGCCACTGATGCCTGCCACGTGGACAGACAACAACTGCGGCGAGAGCATCGCCAGCGATGAACAGAACTCGTGTTACACGGATAGCCCGCTTTGCATCTCCTCGTGGAAATGATCGCCATGATTGGTCGGATCTACGCCAACCAAATCATTGTATGCTTGTCACTTGAATTGGTCCTAGGTACAGGACGATTTGGTGTTCTCCTGCGATTTCGAGGATCCCTCTTCCCGGATCTCCAATCTCTAGGCCGGTGGGCAAGCCACCGTCTCAGCCTGATACTGTATCGCTCCCCCTCCCTTTGACACTCCTGCAAAGACCGCCTGGGCGCCTGTTTCTCTACTGCGACTCTTCGAGGGAAACTAACCACGATTCGTCCAGGAAATGCAGACGTAGTCCCTTCTCTGAGCTCGCAAATCGGAAGTTGAACCGTACTCACGGACACGAAGCGAACCAGAGACATGCCACCCAGGCAGACATGATTGTTCCACAGGTCAACACAAGGACTCAACAACCAGCCGAGCAACCTTTGCCCTGTGAGGCCGATGAGCAGCTGTGACGATCGACCACCCAGGCCACTAACCGCCGTCTCTTATTCGCTCTTGGCCCTGCCAAAGTCGCCATCCTCCTTCCCCGGAAAGGGTCTCAAAAGTGTATCCACATGACGGCAGAGGTTCACATCCTCAGCAACTTCCAACAAAAGATACCAGAGAACCGACCATATTGATTGGACCGTTGGTGGGATTCTTCAGCAAATGATCCTGGCCTTGTTTTGCGTCCCTCTCATGATGTGTCTGACATCCACCTTGAATTTTCTTGGAGCGCCAAAACTCGGCTCACAATGATTGACATGTACATCGGCCGGAGCTTAGCGACATCATTAGTAGAGGAAGTTCTGAATGACTCAGGTCGCGAGTCCTGGGCATTCAAACGTCCTGCAGTGTGATTCTTCAAGGGGAGGCGGTGTGCGGGCCCCTCGTCCCAAATGGAAGCTCGTACACAGTCCCAAATCTCCTGCTTCATTCGTACTAACCTCTCTGCAACGCAGCCAGTGACTCCATGCATCACGTTTCTATCTAGGCAAACCCATTCTGGGGCAAGGTTTACTCGGTTCAGCGGCGCCCTGATGCTGAGGAACTGATGGCTCCTTCTGTTCTAGATGAGCCCCAACGGTTGTCGAGACTCTGACCTCTGTATACCCGGTCCACAGCCTTCTGCCACGTTGATTTTGGAACGTCCTGCTAAAACCTGGCCCAATCGCTTCTCGTGGGTCAATACACTGTACTTTCGGGCTGAATGTGGGCTCCCTTTCTTTGTGGGCGTGTAATCCACCCCGGGGAGGAGTGAGTCGTACACTGGGTAGCAAAGGAAAGGCGTACACAAAGGCAAAAGTCTTCCACAACATATACTGGCCTTGAACGTGTGCCGATAAGCTATTGGACGATGTTCCGCCAGTTCAGCGCCAAGGGAGCAATATATGCAAGCAAATGCATCGCAATGGACAACGAAGCGATACTGAAGTCTTGAGCAACAGTAAGACATATGCAAGGCCCTAATCCTTGACGGAGGCAGAGAAGTTTGGGCATGTGAGGTTTTCATGTGTCAACTTGATATGACAGCCATCAGAATGAATGCGGTGCTCTTTACAATGCAACTTTAAGCATCTGATGTTTCGGCAGGTTCGCTATTCAACCCGACTACTATATCTCGGGGGTCATATATGAACGGGTGCCGCCGTGCTAGACTAGAATCTGGACGGAGAATCACTTTCATGCCGAGACTTTATGTCAAATATGAAGATTCCGCGGGAGGCCAACACCGTATCAAGAATTCGAAAGCATTCGCCAACCCCTCTGATACTGGCTTCATCTGAAATGCAAGGACCGGATATGTCTCTCGCAGTCAGCAACTCTTAGGCATTGATTGATCCGGGATATCCTATTGCCAGTCACGGTGCCAATGTCCTAGCCTTGGCTGCTGGGGGTCAGAGCAAGCAAGCATAACAGTGCTACAAGCCGTTGTGGCCTTTTGCCAATCCGCAATCTCTGGAACAACGACACTAGGCTCAAGGCCCCAGCCTCGACAAAGGAACTGCTTCTTCAATAATAAGACTGAGACTTTACATATCGAGGTTGACCTGAGAGTATCACGGCACCACACAAATGACTTGTAAGCAAGGCTCTTGACCATACTGAATCCGCGACCCTGTGATTGGGCTACTTTACCAGTGAAGAGGGCGACCATTACTGCAGGCTAGATGTTGCTGCAGGTTCTATCCGACACATTATGTAGAGATCGATTCTTATGGTAGTGCAAGGGAGAGAATGGAAGAAACGGGAGGCGTGGTTTAGCCTTGTTGCCATCATATTGTCGTGCTTGGTTTCTTCTCCACTTGAATGCGGGGTTCAAGACAATTTCCAGCTTCTTGTACCCTGTACCTGCGTTTCTCATGCCATTTGTTTTTATTTCCACCTTTGTGATCTCTCCCGAACTTTGTTAAAGAGTCATCTATCCTCTCTGTACTCATTGCGTGGGTCTATATCGTCTCGTATAAATTGACTAGAATATAGCGATCATGTCCACGTCGTCCCACATATCCCACCACGGCACCCTCGCCGACCTCCTCCCCTCTCAC